AAGTTAACATTAAACGTGTAAAAATACACGTGTGGTGAAGTTATTAAAGGAACTGGTGATAAGAGGGCTCTTTCCTCGTTTAAAGGCTAAGTATGGCCATTCAGCGAGGAGACGCCGCCAGTGTTCTTGGCACGATACCACGGGAAATAGGATCGTACGATTATTTAAGTTTTTAGTTTTAGATTTCTTGTCATAAGTTTTTTAAATTGTATATATTTTAATGGTTTGTAAACAAATTAATGCTAGATAGCTTTTGTATATTTCAAATATACTAACTTAACTTACTGCTTCATACTCGTATACAAAGAGAATTAACTACGTGTGTGAATCAACGAGCGGCTCTATAGCACAGCAGAACCAATATTTGCACTGTCCGGGATGTATCAACATTGCCCCTTTCACGTAGCTTCGGGAAATAAAACATTTTAGCTGTGCAATGACAGGAATATATTATTGAATATGCGACGGCTTTTTATATGATTAAAACGAAAAAAAAAAACAAAACTAATATCAAATCATTAAAGTATTAAAAAAAGAATCATGTAATTAAGCCCTGTAATTGAGGTGTTCAATAGTGTCTCCCAAAGGATAGTTCTTAAGATGAACATGGACAAAACAAAAGCCATGTTTAACGTCCATGTCACACCTATACCGGCAGTTTTTGGGAGCACTAAGCTCGAAGTTGTTGACGAGTATGTTTACCTGGGACTAGGTAAGTCCAACTTCGACCGAGAGCTCAATCGACGGATTCAACTCGGCTGGGCAGCGTTCGGGAAACTACGACACATCTTCTCGTTAAACATACCTCAAAACCTTAAAACGAAATTGTACAACCAGCGCGTGTTGCCACTGATGACTTATGGATCTGAGACGTGGTCCTTCACTGCCGGCCGTATAAGGAAGCTCAAGGTCGCTCAGCGAGCTATGGAGAGGGCTATGCTCGGGGTGTCACTGCGTGATAAACTTAGAAATAAAGATATCCGCAGTAGAACCAGAGTAACCGACATAGCCCAATGGATCAGTAAGCTGAAGTGGCAGTGGGCCGGCCATATAGCTCGAAGAACCGACAACCGATGCGGAAGAAAGGTTCTCGAGTGGCAGCCTCGTACCGGTAGGCGAAGTGTAGGGCGACCCCCCACTAGATGGAGTGACGACCTGGTAAGACATGCAGGAAGTCGATGGATGCAGGTGGCTCAGGACCGTGCTTTGTGGCATTCCTTGGGGGAGGCCTATGTTCAGCACTGGACTTGTGAAGGGCAGTGATGATGATGATTGAGGTGTAAGAATATACACTGCCCCATATTATCCCGTACATGAGACGTTCAACAGCCTACTTCTAATAAAGACTAAAAAAAACTGCCGATGCCATCCCGCTTGCCAAGCGTGGCAACTATGGCAAATGTGTTTAGCAGTGGACTCTTATAAGCTGTAGCGGTAACAGCAACGGTAATTAAGCAACCGTGTAGCAATCTATGAGCGAAGCCTGTATTCATCAGTCGACTTTTAGGAAAGGCTGTAATGAAAAACGGAAAAGGAACAGAATAATAATAACATATTAATACATTTTAATTAGTATATACTACATGGTTTATTATAATAGTTTATTCACAACCAAAATGTCCCTTCGAAAAGTGTAAGGTAGTAAATAATATTAATTATGTTATTATTTATCTAACATTGTCTGCATAAAATGTACCAAAGTATACAAATAGTTTTGTTTGTTCTTCAAACGCGAGTGATCGGTTCCAGCAGCGCATAAATTAAGTACTATGCGGATTGGTACGCGATGTGAGATAGTGCAGAAACATTTTATAAAAACAAAAGTAGTCTTAATAAAAAAAGTTATATTCATTTTGCAAACACCAGGAACAAACACAAGCTAGTGATTCCAGGTTCTCAAGTCCACAGAGTCAGTAATTAATTCATGGAGCAATGTATAGTTGTAGTTTGGCTCAGAACATAAGAATTACTAGCTGTTCCCCGCAAATTCGCCCGCGTGGAATATTGATTTCATAGGTTTGAAATGTTTTAGGAAAAGAATTAGCATTCCATACCCTAATTCTTTTCCTACAATAAAAGGAGCCTAAGTTACTCTTTACAACATCAGCTATCTCTCAAAGAAAGTCCCATCCAAATCAGTTCACAGGTTCTTGCGCGATGCGTGTTCAGACAGACGTTGAATTAGAGTTTCTTTATCGTATAGATTTCATACCGACGGTAAAAACAATTAATGAATTTCAAAAGGCAATACTCAAAATTCATAATGAATAAAAAATATTCTATTCAGTTATAAAAAAAAAAACGGAACCATACAATCCATAAAAGCCAAAATCATTTGGTTGTACACGGTGTTAACTTTTTACTCGTTTGAAGCTCGGAAGTTTTATCGAGAGACTTTGCGGTCACTTTGCGCTTCAGAATAATAAAAATAGAGTAATAAAATTCTATATATTATATTAATTCTATATGTACATATATATGTATTATATATATATATATATGTATAATACATATATATGTATTATATATATATATATATATATATATATATATATATATATATATATATATATATATATATATATATATATATATATATATATATGTATATGTATACCTACTACCTGAATACTAGCTAATAGTCAACTATTTATAAATTCACAGCTTTTTTACGTCTCATGGCTATAATTTGTAAAATAATTTTTGGGAAAGGAAGTGTCCGACGCGCTACCCCAATACGCGTTTTGCGAATTTCATATAATACATAAATAAAATATATGAAATGGATTAGAAAGCTGAAGTGGCAATGAGCCGGAATATAAAAATATAGCTCGAAGAACCGTCAACCGATGGAAAAGAAAGGTCTTCGTGTGGCAACTACGTATCAGTAAGTGAAGTGTAGGGCGATGGACGCAGGTGGTTAAGGACCGTGCTTTGTGATGTTCCTTGGGGGCCGATGTTCAGCAGTGGACTTGTGAAGGTCTTCGATGGTGATGGAGGATAAATTAATATCCATATTGGTAAATGTTATCAATAATCGTTAAGCACCAGGGTATGAATAAAATAAATTACTATCTGGGGTTTTTTTACCACTAATTTATGAAAATTAATGATTTTTATAAATAATTCTTATAATTTTTCTTTTATCGCACAAAGGCTATGTAGCCATTCAACGAAGAAACGCAGAAAGCGTTCTGGGCACTATACCACGGGGAATCTTTTGGTAATTTATTTCTTTAGTGTTAGTTTTTTTTTATTATTGTTTTTTAATATTGTATTTATTTCGATATCATGTAAATAAGGTAATTTTTTTAAGTATATAATTTTTTAATTTAATATTTTCTAATTTTCAGACATGCACGTTTTCTCAAGATGTTTTCCTTCACCGCTGAGCACGTGGTTTAAATGTAGTGGTTTAAGTGTTATTCCATATTATGTTATTTAGGTCAATGAACTACCAGTTTTAAATCAAACCAAATACATTTATTCTAAGGGTAGGTTTGACAAGATACGAGCTGAATTAAATGTCTTTGATTGGTACTCTCAACTTAATGTAGACAGTTTGGATAATGCGACAAAATTATTTTATAATAAAATATATGAGTTAAGAAATTTATACATACCGACTAAAACTGTTAAATGCTCTCGTTACCCGCCTTGGTATAGTCAGCCTTTGATAAAGATACTACGAAATAAAAACAAATACCATCGTAAGTACAAGACCTATGGCAATCTAGGTGATTATGAATCTTTTTCATTTCTACGTGCAAGAGCTAAGGATGTTGAAAGAGAGTGTTACCGTAATTTTATCTCACAAACGGAAAAACACATTGCTAGCAATCCAAAGTCGTTTTGGAGATATGTTAAATCCTACAAGAATAATCAGTCATTTCCTAGCAATATGTCACTGCAAAATGAAACAGCTGTGAATGGACAACAAATAAGTGACTTATTTGCAAAATACTTTCATTCCACATTTTCCTCTCCGTACGGTAATTTTCATGCTGGTCATATGACTATTAAAGAGTTAAACATTCCGAACTCAGTTAGTTTGGATACCATATGTATTAATAAAACTGAAATCAATAAATTACTTGAGTCATTGGATCTCAACAAATCGGGTGGGCCGGATCTTATACCACCTATTTTTATAGTTAATTGTTGCAAAGAGCTTTCGGAGCCTCTGTTCATTCTCTTTAAGCGATCGATAGCTGAAGGTGTTGTTCCCAAAATTTGGAAGCAGGCATACATCACACCTGTTCATAAAAAAGGGAACACCACAAAAATAGAAAATTACCGGCCTATATCAAAACTATGTTTATTTGCTAAAGTATTTGAAAAGGTAGTATATCAACAAGTGTACAATTCTATTTCCCCTATACTTAGCGATTCCCAACATGGATTTCTTATAAAAAGATCAACTGTTACTAATCTGATCCTTACAAATAATTACATTTCAAAAGGTATGGACATTGGACTCCAAGTTGACTGTGTTTATACTGACTACTGTAAATGTGTCGATCGAATAGATCATCAAATCCTTTTAAACAAATTGGCAATGTCAGGTATACATGGAGATCTTCTGCGATGGTTCTCCTCTTATATTGAAAATAGGTCACAAGCAGTAGTGCTTAATGGGTTTATGTCCACTTGGCTACCGGTTCCTTCAGGCGTACCTCAAGGCTCTCTGTTGGGCCCCCTACTATTTATTATCTCTGTGAACGATATAGAGAAGTGTTTCTTGTACTCCAAAGTACTCTTATATGCTGATGATATGAAAATACTTAAATTCATCTCTAGCACAGATGATACTATATTATTGCAATCAGACTTGGAAAGATTTGAAACATACTGCAATATAAATAAACTAGATTAAAATGTATCTAAATGTTTTTTTGTGTCCTTTACAAGGAAAAGCGATACAATCAATGGCGGCTATCAATTGAAGGGTACCTCTTTGGCTAGGGTATATGAAGCTTGTGATCTTGGAATAATTCAAGATTCTAAACTTATCTACGACAAGCATATATCTAGCATTATAACTAGGGCATATAAAGCCATGGGATTTGTCATCCGCTGTTCTTGTGCCTTCAACAGCCTAAAGACGATAAAAATTCTCTACTGTTCATTTGTACGTCCTATTCTTGAATATGCATCACAGGTCTGGAACCCACAATATGAGGTTTATAAGTCTCGTATTGAGGGTATCCAGAAAAGGTTTCTAAAGTATCTTGATTATAGAGCGCATACAGATTCTCAGAACTATGAAGAGAGGTGCAAACGATATCACTTTCTTCCTTTATCTGTTCGGCGTAATATTAATGACGTATGTTTTTATCTAAAAATTTGCAATGGTTCAATTTACTCCCCGGAATTATTATCTGATGTTACTTTAAATGTTCCATTAGCAAATAAGAGGAAACGCAAACTTCTTTACATAAACAGAGCTCATACGAACTATAGACGTAATTCTTTCATGATTAGAACTGCTAAATTTATAAACTCGCTTAATTTTGATATTGATCCATTTTATACTACCCCGAGTGTGGCCAAGAGTACCTTAACCAGTGAATATTTTGCTTAAATTTTTATATTAAGTCTTAAAATATTCATAATACACATAGCTTTTTAACTTTAAGGTACCTATTGTTAACTAGTTAATATATCTTTGAATTGTCTTTATACTTTTTATTTTTAATTCTATAAGTGGAAACTTGTAAATGGCTTAATAGTATATTATTATATCTTTTATTTAATTATAAGAAATTGCTGTAAGTTTTCCGAATAAAATAAAATAAAATAAAATAAAATAAAATATTATTCCGTTATATTCGTTTTACTGGATACCCTCATTCAGCTCAGATAAAATTTCTCATTCCATCTTAGTCCTCAGAGGTGACAACGCATCTGCATTTAGGTTTCTATGGATCACAGTATCTAATCACCACCAGGACGACTACATGGTTGTTTATCATACTTATTCTATAAAAATTATTTTAAATATTTTCGAAGCCGGAATATATCGTACAGTGAATCTTACGACAAGCACTTAGATCGCGAGTTACCACGGCACTAAATAGAAGAAGAAAATTATTATGCAAGACTTTTACAGTATAATGCAGCGCTATTTCGCTAGATAAATTAACGTATCTCTGGTAGCGACGTAAAAGAGAGCACGTCTTGTGAAATTAAGCTATTCTAACATCGAATGCGCGTGCTATGCATAGAAAATTTTAACTTCTTAATTAGGAGTTGTAATAGGTTCGATTTTTGAAAGTAATTTTTTAATGGATCAATGCTACTGTGTTTCGTATGCTTGTATTAATTTCCATGATACAAATATATCTTCTTTTTTTGCATTTTGGATGCAGGTGACTCAGATTTGTAATACGCGGCATTTCTTAGGGTAGGGCTATGTACAGCAGTTTAGTTATGAAGGTTTTTTTAAATAGAATTATACAATAATGGTGATCAACTAGTACACAACCCGCCTGAATGGTAAGTGGATGCTATATAGAACCGGAGACCCTTTTTACTGGCAAAGAAGCAATCCATCTTACTCCTCACGGGTGACAACGCATCTGCATCTTGAGTCTTTATTGATGATAGATGTAGATGTCTATGGGTCACAGTAACCGCTTACCATCAGGTGGACTGTGTGCTCGTTTTTCACCCTATCCTATAAAAAAAATATCTTATATCTTTTTTTTAACTTATCTCCACACTAGAATGTTCTTCTGTATCGTGGTTAACATACATAAATTGCACAAGGACAAACAAGCAAACCCGGAACAATTATTTATAGGATATACAAATACCGTGCCATGGTAGCTCAAGGGCTAAGCGCTCGCTGTAAATTTCACAGTACGCGAGCACCCGGGTTCGATCCCCGACGACACCAATGAAATTCATAATTGCAATTTTAAGTGCTGACGTGCTCGGCGGTGAAGGAAAACATCGTGAGGAAACCTGCTTGTCTCAGAAATAGAAGGCAAAAATATGTTTTGCCGCTTCTTTTCACAAGGTCTCTCCGCAGTAAGGGCTTGTTGAAATGATGACGTAGCATTTGACTTTAAAAAAGTGCTTGTAAAAGTCAATCTATACAAATAAATAAAATTTTAGTTTCTGTTTGCAAAATGAAAATAACAGTTTTTACAAAATGTATATGAAAGTATATACGGTCATCATCATCATCATTACAGCCCTTCACTTATCCCGTAAGGAAATCACGGTCCTGAGTCACCTGCATCCATCGACTACCTGCATGTCTGACCAGAACGTGATTCCATCTAGTAGATCCGTGTCACCCTACACTTCGCCTACCGGTCCGAGGCTGCAACTCGAGAACCTTATTCCCCATCGGTTGTCGGTTCTTCAAGCTATATGGCCGGCCCATTGCCACTTCAGCTTACTAATCCGTTAACAACGCATGTTTAGTACACAACAGAAAAACAATTTTTAATGTTTTGTCTGTCTTCATGACTGTCTGTCTGTTTGTTCGGTGTGATCTCCGTAATGGATACACCAATTTTCACAGGATATTCACTGGCAGATAGCTAATGTTATAAGGAGTAACAAAGGCTACTTTTATTTTAGAAAAATAATTAGGGGTCCGAGCAAAATACTTAAAACCCAATAAATCTAATCTAAATAATCTCCACGTGGAAGAAGTCGCCGGAAACAGCTAATTTTGAATGAAATAAAATGCAGTGGGCTTTTGTAAGCAGTAATAGTAACATTTCGAAGATATGTGAAGTTCGCCAACATGTATATGGGCAGCGCGGCGGATCATTCCTTGCCCTAATACCCTCTCAGAAATGAGAGGAGTCTTGTGCCTAGCAGTGGGACGTGTATATAGGCTGTAACATTACCCTTAAGTTTTAATAGTAATAGTAAGCTACTAGATTTATAATTTTAAAGTGAAACGGTTTGTTATAATACGTACTCGCAAGTGGTTGCTTCTTCGTACGAACAGAATCAACACTAACGTACAAATGTTTGCTGCGAAGTAAACGCGTGTATCGACTTTGTGCCCTTTGACAAGGAGTCACAAAATAAATCAGGTTATTGGAACGGGCTATGTACCGATACAGATTGAACTGTTATTAACTTTCTATAGTATATATTCTTTATGAAGGTAATCTTATAAACAAGCAAGGTTAATACTGTTTACAAATACTTGACTGCGTAAAAATATTACTAATGATCAATCTAGCAATTATAAAAGAACTTTATAGCAGCTTTATTATAAGTGTTGAACATTTGAGCGAGAATGGTCGCTAACCAACGTTAAATCGTTATAGATCCTAAATGTCATTCAAAATGAAAAATCACTAAAGATGATACCCCATCTGACATAGTTCGTCGAATTTCATTTTTTCTTTTAAGCAATATGGCGTCTGGTTGTGGCCATATTGAATTTTGATGACACAAGATTAAGAGAAATCAATTGACGTAAGAATCATCAAAATCGACTCACAAGTTCGGTCTCTAGAATAAGACTGACAAATGAGCACACAGTGCATCTGATGGTAAGTTTATGTTATGATCCATAGCCTTCTATACCTTTAAGTTTGTCACCTCTTATGTCTAAGACGGATTGCCTCGCTTCCATTAAAAACTGCGACACTGACACCTACATCTAAATAGTATTTCTTAGATGGAATGGAAAGAAAGGAAAAACATAAAAAGGGGTCTGCGATTCACGTCTCTCACCATAGAAATACTTAGCATTATGATGCTATGTTTTTTTAAAAATATCGAACTTGAGTGATAAACGAACTTATAGTTCACCCGATGGTAAGTGGCTAATGTAGCATGTGCTGTGTCACTTACCTCTAGTAAACTTTAAACAAAGAAGGCTACATAAGTGTTGTCACCTGATGACTGAGATGGAATGCCTCAAATCCTTTAATTATACTGGCTCTCTATACCCTTGAGATCGGAAGACAGCATAGCAAGCACTGCTATTTCGCAGATACATGTAAGAGTGTGGTTCCTAGCCAGACTGACTCGTAGGTAGAAAAGGAGTCCTACCACCTAGTACAACACCAGTGTCACATGATATTCTTAAAGTCCATTTTAATCATCATCATGACAGCCTATCAAATTTACAAAGCTGAACACAGTCCTATACAAGGATGCGCTTGGTAGGCGAGTAGACAACCGCAGTTTTTTCATTTTTATAATTGAGTTTATCACTCAGATGCTGCTACCCATCTCTTGTTTTTGTTTTCCCCTGTCATCTCTTACGATAAGCGTGGGATTATTTAGGATAGTGGATTATGGATCGATGTAAACGTTGACTGATTTGTGTGGTGGGTCGTCCAATTCCCTTTTAAATAGTAGAGGAATTACGAATACCACATACGTCGTACTTGTGAACAGGTGTTGCTTGTGGTGGGCTGGCCTGCTAGGGTTCGCCATGGATCAGTGAACTCAAAAATTTTAAGGTTATTCTGAATGCATCATAGAACATGTTTTAGCTACCAACGGGTCTATTATTATTTTACATTCTTCCAATAAGTACTATACTAACATTAAAGAAAGTAAAAAAAAAAGAGTATGACTGCGGAGTTTCTTTCACCATTTCTTCTCCGGTCGGAGGAACTTATTTTAAAACGGTAGTAGATTTGAAGTAAAATGACAAAGATGATAAGGTTTTTTCTTACTTTATATAAAACAATTTTAAATTTTTTATCATCATCATCAGCCTGCAGAAGTCTACTGCTGGACATAGGCCTCTCTCTAATGGTGCAATGTGTGGAAAATGTACAGACACAGGGTAAGACAACGCATCTTGTCATCCCCTGTGTACTAGGACGACATACCTCGTTTCCAGTAAAAAGGGTATCTAGTTCTTTACAAGCAAACAAAACTCATCATCACGAAGCTGCTATTTTACGGTGGTATTCTGTGAGAGCGTGAGCCTCTCCCGACCGAGCCAACTCATTCGTGCTACAACCATAATATAGTTGCTGCGTGGCTGTACCACGTTTAATGGCATTCCACTGCTGGATATGGGCTAGGCACTTAACCAGTAGCTGAATATTTAAATCTTACCCTGATCTTATACTGAGTAGTAAATAAATCAATATTAATAACTCATAAATTCCACATAAGTAGTGTTTAGGCCAGTAGTGTGTAGGCCAAAACTTAACATTTAAAACTTGCATTCAAAACGCTCGTCTCGGCGCGTTCATCCGATAGTATTTAGGTCACCGCCTGGTCCCCTTTCCCGCGCGCGTCTCTCCGCTCACTGTCGGTCGCCGGACGTGTGGGCGATCAACCGGTTTGACGGCTTGGGTCGGCGGGTATTCGTTTTGCCCATGGCGCCCATGTCCTGATGAGTCTTCAAGTTACGCTCGAATCGTTAGGTCGCGTGAAGACCGCCTCTTATTGCGTTGTATTTCTCGTGCGTTTACGTGACAACGAGGCTTTTCTTGAGTTTGAGTGATTAACATAACTTCAATTGCCATTAATTTGCGTCGACGAGTTGCTTGAGTGGCATTTTAATATCGTACGAAGACATTTTTCCTTTGTCGGTTAAAATGCTAAAAAATTGTGACCCGAGAGGAGATCGCG